GGGTGAGGGGCTACAGTGGGGTCCACCATCTCACCTTGTTTCTGCTAACAAGCCAGGGGTGGCCGAAAACCAAAAGCACCCTCCACGAGTCGTGGGTGTGTCTGCCTGGGAAGCCCACGGTGGGCAGTGGGTCCTTGGGGCCAGATGTTCATGGCCACCTTTACAGCCTGTTCACTGGGCCATTGTTCCGAGGAGACCCGGTGCTGCTGTAGGCTAAGTGCAGGCTGGGAACGGAGCAGGTCAGTGGTCGGGACCAGCTAGCATGATCCACAGCAGCCCTGGTGGCATAGTGCTCCTGCGTTAGGCTGCCAGCCTCAGAGTCAGCAGTTTGGATCTACCAGCCGCTCTGAGGGAGAAAGAGGAGACTCTCCACTCAGAAACCCACAGGGGTAGTTCTAGCCTGTCCCATAGGGTTGCCAGGAGTCCAATGGGTGGGGAGCAGCTCTGTGGGAGAACGATGTGGCAGTCTGCTTCTGTGGAGGTCCACTGTCTTGGAAGCAGCTCTGTCCTCTAGGTCACTGTTGGCAGACTTGAAGGCAGTGGGTTTGGTGTGGGTATTTTGCTGTGAGAGTTGAGCGGGCCCTCTGGTGCTGCCTATGGTTGAGGAAGCATCACACAGGCCTGTAGCTTCCTGGGCACCCTCCTCAAGGAGACGGAACAGGTTCACGTTGCTCCTGACACCTGACGGAATGTGCTTATGAACTGGAGGCCCCCACTTGATGGCTGGTGTCCCAGGACTGCTGTGACAAAGTGTCACACACACACACACACACACACACACACACACACACACACATCCACTGCCATCTAGTAGAGGCCACCCCATACTGACCCTAGAGGGCAGGGCTGAACTGCTCCTGTCGGTGTACAACTCTTTTTAATACCACTGAACTACTGAGTTGTATATGCGAATTATATGGCAAAGTTAAAAAAGAAAAGTCATACAACAAAGAAAAACCATCTACTGCCAAGATAGAAATCAGTCACCAGAACCATACCCGCGTGTCTAGTCCACTGTCTAAGTGCAGCACAGGAATTGACACCAAGCTATCACCACACTGCCCACCCACTCCCTCGACTTCTCTGTTGACCTGTCACAAACACTCCCTATGATCTGTTGTCACTTGCTGAGTCGGCCCTGACTAGCAGAATAAAACGAAAATGCTGCCTGGTCCCCTGCCATCTTCAGAAACACCGTTATGTTTGAGTCCAGTGTCTGAAAGTAGGGGGTGGGACCCAGAACACAAAAAATCCCTCCAGTTTTGCATGGCTTGGTCTTTGAAACCTAGGCTATTAAAGGGAGAATTTACACATACATATGTACAATATGCAAACTGTAAAGTTTTTAATTTTCAGATGATCCTTTTTGTCCAGCTGTTCTTTAATAAGGGAAAACGGCTTCAGAAGCGGTAACTGTGAAGGCTTATTGGCATGCTTAGCACTGTGCAGAGTCCAGGCATAGAGAAGTTCTCTGTGAGAGAGGCTTGGAAGAGACCATGCTGGGCTGTGACCAGAGGGCCCACAGCTCTAACCACCTCCCCTAACACCTGGGCTGGCTCAGAGCCACCTCCTCAGAGCTGGCTCCAGGCTCGAGCTCCACTCCCGCCCCTGCCAACTCTGCCTCTCCATCCAGGCGCCTGCTCTGCCGAGGGCCCTAGTGAGTCGCAGCTGGCAGCTCCCTGAGAGCTGGGAGCCAGGCGGGTCCGGACTCAGTGCAGCTCACTGTGGGATGCCATCCAGCTCCCGCCTTTCTTCCAAACACCGCTTCACTGGCGAGCTTCTCTTCCCTTGCCACACACAGGAGCTGGGAACATAGACCAGGAACCAGTCGGCTTGGTGCTTCCTGTGTCTGGAGGATGTCCCTGTTGGGTGGCCAGACATAGCACCTCTGGCAGCAGGAGGGCATGGAGCAGTGCAGTGTGGCCCGGCTGTCTGCAGGCCACCTGGGGACCTTCCACAGCTGCTGTCACCAGCCTGCTGCCTGAATAATGGGCCAAAGTTAGAAAGCATGTTTTCGACGATTGCCAAAGTGACATCTTGGATAACGAGGAGCAAACCCATTCTGGTGCCTGTGGGGGTTGCTGGGGGGGTTTCTGTCAAGCCTTCCAGGAGTGGCCAGTCTCACATCTTCACACAGAGCAGGCAGCGAGTTCAAACCGCTGGCCCCACTGGTTAGCAGCCTGCAACGGGACCCACTGTGCCATCAAGCCTCCTGGTGGGGGAGGTTGTTAGGAGGTACTGTCCAGTACCACCACCACCACCCCCCGTCAACAGAACAAAGCACTGCCCACCCTGCACCATCTGCACGACTGGTAGGTTTGAGTGTGTTGTTACAGCTACCTTGCTCATGGCTGCCTGGGGGCTTTCCACTTACATGGAGGGTCAGAATACATGCTCCCAGGGTCTCAGTCTCAACATCTGTGGTCTTATTCCTGGCAAACCCTGTCCAAGCATGTCTCTGCGATCGGCGGGCGCTGCAAACAAGTTCTCTCAGCAATACACAGGCCCCGAAGGTCCGTCAACACGGCAGCTTCCAAGGGGGTCTGCCAGGCCAGTTACTCAGAGCTCAGAAGCTAGCTCAGCCTTTGGTGATTATATTGTTTACAACTTTGAAGGCGTAATCTTGATAGATTTCCTCCAGGGACACAGGACGATCAGAGACTTATTACAAGGAAGTGTTAAGAAAATGGAGAATTGGGGAAAGGCCAGTAAAACAGTATTGAGGAATGCTCTCCATTGTGGTAGTGCACCCGTTCTCTTTGGGGGCAGCGAGCACGATCCTGCCAGTTTCACTGGGAAATCTCCCCCCACGCACCCTGGAGCCCTGATCCTGCCCCTGCGGACACCTGGTTCTCCAAACTCCAGCACCACTGACAAGGGAGCCCGACTCGAGTCCCTCGGTGACACGCCAAAGCTGCCGTTGAGACACGGTGTAAACTGAGGACCAGACGTCGTCTCAGGGCAAAGGTCAGGGACGGCAAGACTGGTTTCCAAGGTCTGTAGACCCAGAGAGGGCATATTGAGAAGCAGTAGCTTCACAGTTTGGTCTTTTGAATGAAGGCGTCTACAAGTGCATGGTCAAAGTCTGCTCACGCTCTGATTACAGTGAGGCTGGGTTCCTGATCTTGTGCTTGGTAGTCACTTCATGTTGCCTTGCAGTGAACTCTTCCTGGGGCTTTGCCACTGATTTTCAGGTTTTTGTTACTGACTCGCAGGAGTACTCCTGCTCCCATTAACCATAAATACAAATTCCTTGTCAGCTTTAGATGTCCCTTTAAAAGCAAACAATTTTCTCAGATCCTTTGTGAACAGCCTGCCGTGGAGTCCCACATGAACAGAAACACGTCCTTCTGATGTGGTCAAACCACAGCTCCTGTGACTTATGCTTCCGATGCCATCCAGCTAATGACCCCACCCAGCAGATTCGAGGGCAGCCCCAGTCAGCAACAGCGGTGATGCTCACACACCAGTGGGGAGAAGAGCTACGGGTTTAAACTATATTATATACTGCTAAGGGTCCCACGACTTACTTTTGACATGCATAAACATTTAGGGAAAAAATAAAGTTAATGTAAAGCAAAAACTTTATATATATATATATTATAAAATTTCTACAAGGAATCTTCTAAAAATGTCTGAGGGACTAAAGCTACCCAAACTATAAAATATTCCTCGCCAAGCACACTGGGATAGAATGTTCACCAGGATGCCTTTTAAAGTAGAGTGCTGGCGGTTGAATGGCTAACCCTCAGCTGCTATTAGAAGAAAGCTTGGTGGCTCATACCCACCAGCCACCCCTGAGGAGAAAAGGTCTGGCAATCTGCTCCCCAAAAGATGTTAGCCTGGGAGACCCTCCCTGCGGGGGTGGCAGTTCAACTCCATGGCACACATCCACAGCAGAGGCTAAATCTGGAGCTCGTTAAACAACAATGAACCCTATGCACATTTGTGCACCACAGTGCCTTCGAACGCAGTTCACATATGAAAAACTTACTCTTTATTTCAGCAACACGAGCTGCATCCGATTGACTAACAAGGTCAGGGCTGGGTGGAGGTAAGACAGCTCATTTTCCTCCACTTGGGCCAGGGACCAGTGTTAAGGGAGAAACAAAAAAACAGGGGTTCCTGGAAACCCCCAGAACAGCACCAGTTCAGGCCATTTTAAAACAATCGCTTGCCAGGCGAGAGCTGAACATCCAAGCCCACAGGCTTCATGAAGTCAAGGTGGCAGTAACCAGCTGCCACTGCGCATGATTCTGGCTCACAAAAACCCTCACGTGCGTCAGGGCAGAACCGTGGCTCCCGGGGTTTCCAGTGGCTGGTTGTGGGAAGCAGAGGGCCAGGCCTCTCTTTCGATTTACTTCTGAGTGGACTCAAACTCAGGAACTCTTAACCAAGGTAGAGGGTCTAGTTACACAAGGGCAAAATTCACTGATACTAGACATTTCTTCTTAGAGCACGTCACACATCCCTGGCAACCTTTGCACAGTATACAACAAAACTCAGAGCATTAAATACTTAACCCGAATATATTTCTTGCCTGTTTTCAGGGGCGTCCGCGGGTATTACTCATTTAGGGCGTCTCTCGAAGTAACCCAACGGAACCTTGTTGGCCGTGGGTGCTGCCGTGGGCTAGAAGGACTCTGGAGGCCACACTCTTCCACCTCACGGTGAAGTGCTCAGTGACTAGAAGGGCCAGGGGCCAGGCCACCGGCCCGCCCACGTGGTCTCCTCACTGCCACCCCCACCTAGAGGAGGGAATAAACAGGTAGGGACCCCCTCTTCTGTAAGTTAGTCAGGTCACTTCCTGACACGATCTCCTGCACAGAGGACATGCCCATAACCTGCAAGAGTCCCTATTTTTCATGCAATACTTTACAGAAGTACTTAAGCCTGCTGGCTTACTGCAGCCTCAAAACAGAAACCATTTGTGAAGGTGTAACACGGTGCACTGTCGGGGGAAAAAACCCATGAAAATTGTTTTAATGCAAATTTACGATATGCCCAGAACCCGTCTTGTCAGGTAAGTTTGCAGTATGAACTATGAAACACAGTGCGTTACCTTATGAAGAATCATTTTCTTCTCATTACAAAAAAAAAAAAATTCCCACATTATGAGAAAACCACAAAGAAGACCGATCTGCAGCGAAACCCTCCCATTTGGTCCCGAGAAGCGGCGCTCATGGAAGTAAGCAATCGCCCCACGAGGGCAGTCTGGCAGAGGCACCAGTGGGAGCCGCCCAGGCCCGAGCTGCCCCAAGCTTCGCAAAACACGACATGAGCTTCATAAAACACAACATCCACAAAGCATGTTTCTATTTTTAATTTTTTGCTTTGATAAATCAGTTGCTTCACAAAAATCCCTTTTAAAGACAACAATCCAAGAAAACATATTGTATACAGTATTCACATTTTAAAGATTGTCAGTTTCATTGACCAAATGTAACTAAAACAAAGGAACGTTGTGGAATTCTTTCTGTCACTAACTGCCAGGGTCAGCCTTTCACAACCTGGGCAGATTAGATGGCCTTGACGTTTGCTCAACAGGGGAAAGCGCTTCAGGTGCGCAAGAGACAGATCATTCGACAGATGACGTACCAAGTCCAAGAACCCTCCAGTGTCATCTTGTAGCAACACTGCTTTGCAGTCTGTGCGCATGCCGGCTTCTCACTTCTCTGCATCCTGAATAAATATTTAAATTGATTTTGCTGTCTGGAATCAACCAATCGAAAGTTGAGCGAGTGCATCCGCTGGAGCTGGTCTAGCCAGCGTAGCTATCTATCTGCTCAGTAGTTGAACAGAAACAAACGAAAAAATAGCAACATGCTTAACATGGGTCTCAAGATACATTCAAAAGGATCCTTCATGAGGAAAGAATTTAACAAGAACAGAGCTGGGATTTAAGCTGATGATTTAAAATTGCAAGTTCGGGGGAATGCACTTTCCCACATTCTCTTCAGGACTGGGAGATTACTCTTCCAGGCACGACCTGGCATCGAGCGTGCCAGGGATGTTTGCCAGGGAAGGGGCTCACAGGGCTCTGGCCACAGTGCCCTCTCCAGTGATCTTTCTCCCAGTCCTCTCAGTTCAGCCCGCCAGAGCTGTTGGCATCAGGCCGCCGTATCAGCTGTCCTGGCCCATGCCCTCATGCCTGCCGCAGGGTGCCTGACACAGCCCGAGCCTGCACATGAATGCTGGCAGGCAGCCCTCGGAAACAGCAGTCCACTGAGCGAGAACATGATTTTGGGCAGGGGAGGTACGGTGAGCTGTATGCGCACCTTCTCAGGTCGGGCTCCCACCTAGAGGGCGGGGGCAGGGAGGGCAGGAGGGTGAAGGGTGAAAGGGGTGCGGGCAGGTGCCCACAGTTTCTAGCTTTAGTAAGTCAACCCAAGTTGGCTTTTCAGTAGAGTTAAAAGGAAAAATGATCTTTTTTGGATTTTAAAAATATTAAAAACACTATAAATAAGAAATGCCATTG